CAGTCTGAGGACTGTCCCCTCTGCGTTCGGGATGCTAAGGCAGCCTGTCGTGTAGGGTGGTGGTGTGGAGAGGCTCTTGCACATTTGTTTGTTTGCGTCCTTGCTGGTAAAGTAAAGAGCTGGCAGCCATGTTAGTCCTTCCTCCACTCCCATGTAGTTTTTAAACCTTTTTGATCTTACTGATCCGTGAAATCCAGAACAATGACAACCAGGCTGTAAGGAGGGGAGGACTCAGATCAGGAAAGAAACCAGCCCCCGGGGAGCCCGAGTCCGGCCTACTGCTGGAAGAGGCGCTGCCTTGACGAGTCCACTGGGCGGGTCCTGGGGAGGGTGTCCTCAAGCCCTCAGTGGACGGGAGCCACCCCGTCCGCCTTGCTCAGGGCGATTTGAGACACCGTCCGTCTGCCGTCTTCCACCAGGGGCTGCTGGGTTTCCTGCTGAAGTCTCCCTTCATGGAGATGCGGGCGGGGGGACAATCAAGACTTTGTCCAGAATCCCTGAGTCCCACGGGGCTGGAGCAGGCAGGGAGCAGCCGACAGCTGCTGTCAGCACTGGCTTCTCTCTGAGCCTCTGCCAGGCGCTCGGCCGGCCACCTGGATCCCCCTCAGTGGTCGCTTTGCGGGCGTCTGATGGCACAGATGTAAGTCATGGCGGGACAGGCTTCCTCTGACCGAGAGGCGAGCGACCCTCCCTGACACGGCCGGGAGGCTCATTAGCAGTTCCTGAAGAGGGCCAGGGGCAGGGCCCGAGAGCCGGTTAACCGAACGGTAACTAATTCGCTTATGATTGATACTCATGTTCTCACTCTCTTTTCTCTTTCTTTGTCTCAGTCGAGTCCTTGGGCGTGGACTGGGCCTTAGGGGGTCTAAGGAGGCGGTAGAGAGATGAGTCGAGAGTGGGGTTTGGGCCCTGACCCCTCGTTAGCAGTGTCGAGCTGCTGCCCTTCTCCACCTCGTTCTTCTTATCTGCAAAATGGGTTTTTGTGAGGAGGGGACGAGCTGATATCTGTAATCGTGGAACGCAGTGCTCAGCCCCTCCTGAGCATCTGGCAGATGCCAGCTCCTATTACCCCATCCCACCCTCTCCTCTCGTAGGCTCCTTTGTATACTGGGCAGGTGTTTGGCACCTGCTGTCGGCGCTGGACAGCGCAGGTCCTTCCACAGGTGAAGGAAAGCATTCAGACGAGTGTGTGTTCATCAGTTGAGTGGCCAACACGAGTTGGCGACATCCTTCCTCTGAGGGAGAAGAAAGAAAGCAGAGGAAGGGCTCCAGTCACTGAGGGTGGAGTCGGTGTTCCTGCTGTGCAAGTCCTGTGGAGCTGGGGTCCGTGCCGCCCCCTGGGAGAGGGCATTCCTGGCAGAGGTGACGGCAGGGCGCACAGGCCCTGAGGTGGGACGTGCCTCAGGGGCTGGGGGACGAGCTGGAGGCATCGTGGCCAGAGCACGGAGAGGGCGTGGGCATGGACCACAGAGGCGCCCGGGGCTGCGTGAGGCTGCGCTGGGCTTCAGGCTTTTCTGGGGCGAAGGGAGGACAGTGACGTTCTGAGTGCAGGTGACATGTTGAAGGTTACAGAGAAACGCGCTCAACTTGGACGCCAAAGCCTGTGGGTGCCTTTCTTGCCTGACCCCTAGAAGGATGACCAGAGCAGGCTGGCTGGTGCTGTCCTGTGAGCATCCATCTCTGGGTCTTGCCTGTAATGGTTGTTACTGTGCTGTTAACTTAGTACTGACTTTCTATTCCCACATCCCCTCTACGCTTATCAATCGGAATTCTTCTGTAAGGGAGAATTTTCCCTTCTCCCCCCTTCACTGATTTATTCAGCAATTTGCGGCGTCGGTGTGGACTCAGAGGTGTGTGTTTTCTTCTCTGGGTCACCGTCTGGTGCTACTCCCGTTTCTTTGGTTGTTCAGTTTGTTCCAGCTGCGGCCACTGGACCTCCTTCAGGTTGACTCTGTCCTTTTTTGTGTCTCCATCATATTTTGAGCATTTCTTTACTTTCTGGCAACAGAAGACACTACAGGTTCACCTTGTTTTTTCCCCCTGGAATCAACCACTTCTCCAGGGAGCCCTGGTTTCCTTTATGGGATAATGGTATTTACAAACCAAGATCTGGGTGTTGGGTGCACTCATTGCTATTGGATTGTGTCGCTTCTAGTCTTTCTTAGCAGATGCAGCTGGGACATATGTGTGTGTACACTAATCCACGCACACACACAGATCACTTCTGTCTGTCTGTCTCTCTCTCCATCTATCTATGTGTCTATCTATGTATCTATCATCTATTTATCTGTCTTTACAGACCTTGAGTTCATACTGATGCCTTCAATTCTGGTCCACAGCCTCAGGGCTCCTTTTAGCCTTCCCACTTTCCTTATTTGTAACTTCTTCCTCTGATAGTGAGAAACCTCACTCGTATTATCTGCAGGATATTAACTTATTTATTCAACCCTCGTGCACACAAAAGGTAGTTTCAGAGTTGTTAATCCACACCCCTGTGACAAACATATACAACGAGAGTGGCGTATTTGTGTTCAGTGCGGTTTTTCTTCAGCCTTGTAGAAGCCAGTCAAATAACGTTTTCCTGAGTGACTTCGGCTGGTTCTTTTCTTCCCCACCCCCTTCACTGTGGTGCTTTCGCTCATCTGTAATGCAGTTATGTTCCTTTGTTGTGTTTATGTTCCATTTCGAGTCTCCCACACACACGTGTGGTTGATTTTAATTGTTTGCTTTTGGGGAACGTGAAATGCTATCACGGTTCTAAGAGCGAGAGCTACACAAATAGACTGAGAGAAATGTGCACCCTTCTCGTCTCTCGTTCCAGTCCCGTCCCCCATTCTTTCCACCCCTTTCCCACCCACCCCCGTAGGTAGCTAATCTCTTTAGTTTCTGCTTCAGCCCTCCTGTATTTGTTTTGCACAGATGGGCCAATGTGTGCGTGTTTTCTTATATCCCCTTTGGCTCTACAGAGGGTTGAAATGCTATAGATACTCTTTTGCACTTTGCTTTTTCCATTTAACAGTATATCCTGGAGATCACTTGATAGCGTTTCACAGAGATCTTCCATAATGAGCTTTTTTAACTTTGATAGTTGGAAAAAAAATTAGCAGTCCAGAGATCAGTTTCAAAATTCCCTAAGCCTAGTGGTGGTGATGATAAGAGCATGAGCGCTGCCGTTAAGTGAGTGCCTGCTGTATGCCATGCTCCGTGCTAAGCGCTTGCTGTGATCATCTCATTGAAGGAGTCATTGAAGCTGTTGAACCTGGAGCCCTGAGGGGTGGGTGACACCCCCAATTTACTGATGAGAAAGCTGAGGCTCAGCAATATCTAGAAACTTACCCAAGGCCATGAAAACAGAGCTGCCGTTTGACCCCTGGACACTCCCCTGTTTGTGATTTGGGAAGAGCACAGCAGCAGCATCACACAAGTCCAGATCGAAATGAAGCCATAAGGGGTTTTAAAACCTGGCCACTTCCTAGGCCTTAAAACTGTTCGTTATGGATCGACTGCTGCCAAAGTTGGCGTGTTACTGATGGCAGGAACATGACGGGAATTTACTGCCTGTTTGTTCCAAAGAAATGGCCCTTCTTCTCAAGGACCAGAGGTCCTGCCTCTAAGACAGAAGATGAGGGAGATGCTGGGTGGGTCCTGCTGCCTGGGAGGCAGCAACAGATCGGATCTTAGCCCTTGTAATCGCAGGCTAGAGCAGCCAGCGCCGTCGGTGGGAAGTGCATGACCCCCCAGGCTATGTGGTCAGCGGGACCCTCGGCCAAGCCAGGTCCACGGCAGTTTCTGTTAAAACTGTTTGTACAGCAGGAGTGGAAGAAGAATATCTTTGAGTGGGAGTCTGGCTTCTGTTTTGAGAAGTGATAGCCTTTGGCAGGGAGGCAGTACCCTTGCATTGGTTGGGGGTGTGGCTTCTAGAGTCTGAGTGCCGCAGGCTCCACCCCAGCCCCAGATATTCCAGCTGTGTGACCCTGGGCCAGTCACTTCACCTCTCAGAGCACATCTGTGAACTGGGGATGGGAACCATACCCGTCTTTGTTGGGGTCCCCAGGGCCACCCCGGGTTTGATGATTTGCTAGGAGAATGCATAGAACTCAGCGTAAGTCATACTCACGGCTAAGATTTATTACAGCAAAAGGAGACAAAGCAAAACCAACAAAGGGGAAAAGTGAGGGAGTGAAGTCCAGCTTCCCGGAGTCTCTCCCAGGGGAGCCTCCCAGGGGCACTTAATTCCCCCAGCGACAAGTTGTGACAACACGTGAGAAATGTTGTCTTCCGGGGATGCTCAGAGCTCCCTGCGCTCTGAGTTGGTACCGGCGCTGGGCAGGCAGGCACCCTCTGCCTTGGAGGTACCCACATCCCAAATCCCACATCCCAGAAGCAAAGCAGGTGTTCGGCGTCGAGCGCGCTGTCTGCATCAACACTTTAGGCACAGCGAGCGTTCTTAGAGAGAAGGTGCGAACCCGGCCGGAATCCGAGTTCCAGCCCAGCAAGGGCCAGCCCTTCCCAGGACAGCCGGCTCAGGCCTGTGGCGCTAATTCTTTCCTGCACCCCATCGCAGTGGTTGGCTGCTGGATGGCTTACATGAGATGATCCACGGAAAGCCGTGGCCACACTGTCTCGTGAGCACCAGCTAAAGCAGACGATTAGACAGTCAGGGAATGAATTTTGGATGGTTCTTCTGCAGCTCAAGAGCAAACTCCATCCATCGTCCGTCTGCTCACCCATTCATTTCTTTGTTTTGTGCCTTCTGATTGAGCCCTGTAGGTGCAGGCGTGGTGTGTCCTCTGTGGGACGTCCGCTCCCTTCCTAGGGGATGGTGCGTGTGGGCTTCCCGTCCGGTTGGGAGTTGAAGGGGGCGGTGGGGTGAGAAACGCTTGGGACTTTTTAGTAGGTGCAGAAGCCCCGTCTGTACGCTCGGAGCTGGCGCGAGGGGTATGCAGTGGCGGGCACTTCACTTGCTGACGCCTCGCTCTGTGTCTTCTTTCCTCCCGCAGCCAAGGCTAAGTCGAAGTGCGGCCCCACGTTCTTCCCCTGCGCCAGCGGCGTCCACTGCATCATCGGCCGCTTCCGCTGTAACGGGTTCGAGGACTGTCCTGACGGCAGCGACGAGGAGAATTGCAGTGAGTGCTGGGCTCACCCGTGTGCACCCTGTTCCTTCTGGCCGCCCGCCGCCTCCCGGCTGGCCTCTTACTCCACTTCTCACCCACTCTGGGCTCAGGCCCCAGATTCTGTTTGCACTGCTGCTTTCTTGTGTAAATGCTTGGCTACCTTGTGTCAGGGACCCCCTAACGCACCGGCCTCGCTCAGACTCTGTTCTCCGTTTTGACAGTGGCTCTGCACATGCAGGGGTATCATCCCCGTTCACAGAGAAGGAATCAAAAGTGTGGAGAGTGGTGGCCTCATCCAGTGCCGAACAGCTCGCGAGCAGCAGAGTCCATTCTCGCCTCGTTGAGCCCCTCATCTGATGGACTCTACCGCTCAATGTTCATGTGCTTGCTTGCTTTCCTTCCTACTTGGAATTCTTTCAAAAAAGATGTTTATATATTGATTATATACACACTGTAAGAAAATATTTTTGAAAAGACGTCCAAACAGTATAGAAAGCTAAAGTTCTCCACTTGTGACCATCGTGATTCTTTTTACCTGTTATATAATATTCCATGGTATCAGGACACAGACAGCCAGCCGCCCTTGTTCTATCTACCCCACCTTGACCTCTTAGCGGCCTTGGTATTGATCTTCACTACTTGGTCTGGACGTGTGCAGTGCCTTCCTTGTCAGCATCTCTGTGTCCGGAATCTCTGCACACACGCAGCAGCCTCAGTGGCCTGCGAGCATTCCTTCCCCATGTTTGCACCATTCCAGCTCTCCCAGCAGGTGCTCTGTACCTGCCACTGGTCACTTGGTCGCCACTCACTGTTTCTTCTTCTTTCCTGTCCCCTTAGGTGTGTAGACTGCTGGAGCCCTTGTAACTGGAGTCGGGTCTGGACAAATTTACGCCTTTCTTCTGTGCGCTTACATATTTTAATAACATGTTTTTCTTCTGATTATTGTAAAGAACTTGCAAAATATGGAAAAGTGTAGATAGGAAAACAAAACTGCCCAGAATGAAGCACTGTTAATATTTGGGTTATTTTGTGCCAGTCCTTTCTCTCTCTCTATTTATGCATACATATATCTCTTCTCTAATGTGCTCCGCTTTATTATTTTAATGAACGGTCCTCTTTATTGTGACCATTTTCTCATGGGATTAATTTTTTTCAAAACATAAGTTTTAGCGACATAGTGACTATTTTGATAAATTGATTTTCCCTTACCCTGTGGTTCTGGTCCCTGCAGAGGACGGTTGCTGTCTCCTGTGTTATTTACGTCTTTCCAGAGAGCAGTCATGGCTCTGTCCTCCCAGCAGAGCCGCGGGGAGTTTATAACTCTCCCATGTGCCTTCTGCTATTGCCTTATTTCATTTTCTGGGTCCAAATGGCAGAAATGTGGCCTAGCCGCTGGATTGTTGGATAGTTAGTAGAGCGACTGAAATCTACCTCGGCAGGGAGCATGCCTGTCACTAACAGGGGAGGGGCCTGACTGCAAAGTGACTCCTAAGCTGGAGAGTCTGGCCTCAGATTTGTGTCCCAGCCTAGTTAAGCATGAGGAGGGCGTGCTGCATGATCTCCTTCACGGTGGTTTCCTTGTCGTGAGAATGGGGGTGCCGAGAGCCTGCTTCCAGGGGTGGTTGTGAGAATTACGTGAGATAATATCTGAAAAGTGCTTGGTGGAGTGGCTGGCACAGAGTAACTGATTTAAAAGATATGTAGTCACCTAAAGCAAAGCTGTGAGTGACCAAGGGGAAGACCATATTTACTAGGATTTCCCCGTTGGCTTAGGGTGTCCAAGGCTGTACGTGTTTCGTATATCATTTAGTCTGTTAGTAAGTGTGTATCAGCCTGATCTCAGTTTCCTGCTGTCCATGAGGACTTTATAATCTAAGGGGCAATTTCATATATATATACATACATGCTTGTGTACTAGAGAGTAATTCAGTAGCCACAAAAAGCAAGTGAGATGCATTGTAGTATGTAGATTCTAAATGATGTGCGATCCAGTGCCCTCCCTGCCGTAATTGAAGACACTGTATGATTTAGATGTTTGAACATTGGTCTTTAGTTGTCTAAGTGAGTAAATTAGATCCCTTCCAAATTTGGTCAGTGAGGATTAAGCTAGCATTTTCCTCTGGCATGTCTAGCGCTTAAAAATAGCAGTTGTAACTCACTGTTTTGAAAACTGGTAAGTAAAAGGAAAGAATCAAGCATTTATACCTCCCTTACTTCTGAGTAATTAAATAGCTGACTTAGGAAATTTCCTTTTCTTTTTGCAGGGGAAGATTTGCCCTAAGCTAACATCTGTGCCAATCTTCTTCCTTTTTTCCTCTCTCCCCCTGCCGAAGTCCTAGTACATAGTTGTGTGTAGTTGTAAATTCTTCTGGTTCTTCTGTGTGAACTGTCACCACAGCATGGTTACTGGCAGACAAGCGGTGTGCTTCCACGCCCGGGAACTGAACCCAGGCTTCCGAACCAGAGGGCACGGAACTTTAACCACTAGGCCTTCAGGGCTGGCTCAGGAAAGTTCTTTTTCTTGAAGAATACCAGCTATAACAGACGAATGAGAGAATGAGAGTATTTATTTTGTAACCCCTGATGAAGCAATGGTTCATCAATGGCTTCTAAAACCATTAGATATAATATTGATGGGCGCTTTGTAATGGATGGATCAGGCTGAAAACTCCCGAAACCGCAGTCAATCTTTCCACAGACAGCTTTAGTCCATGATGCGCCACTTCAGGTAGAATGGAGAGGCCTGTCACTCTCTAGATCTCTTTATGTGATAGCTGTCTTAGGCGGTAATTGCCATATGTTAAAAACCCCAAAAGACAATGTTTTAATTTTTGCTTTAGATTTTCAAATATATTTTAAAGAACTCCAAAGGAGAAGAATAGTCTCTTATATTTACCCAGATATTTACTATTTTGGTTTCTTTTCCTTCATTCCTTATCTTCCAACTCTCCCCTGTTATCATTTCCCTCCTGTCTGAAGCACTTCCTTTAGCAGTTCCTGTAAAGCAGGTCTGCTGGCCACGGAGCCCCTCAGTGTTCCCTCATTTGAGAATGTCTTCATTTCACCTTCATTCCTGAAGGATGTTTTTACATGTGGAACCTGGGTTGACAGTTCTTTTATTTAAGCCCTTTAAAAATGTCGTGCCGCTTCCTCTGGCTTCCGTGGTTTCCGATGAGGAATTTGCAGTCATTCGAATTGTTTCCCATCGAGAACTTACTCTTTTTCTCGGGCCGCTTTGGAAGCTTTCTATTTTTCTCTTTAGTTTTCAGCAGCTAGATCCTAGTGTGTCTGGGTACGCGGATTTCTTTGAGTCTGTCCTGTTTAGGGTTCTATTTGAACCTGTGGGTTTTTTTCTTTTGCCGTACTTAGTACATTTTCAGCTATTACTTCTTCAGATATTTTTTAAGTGCTGTCCTCTTTCTCCGTTTCTTAATGGGACTCTGAGAACTTTAGATCATGTGTTCCTGTCCCACAGGTCCCTGAAGCGCTGTTCATTTTTTAATCAATCTTTTTTCTTTTTGTTGTTAGATTGGATGATTTCTATTAATCTTTTGTCACGTATGCTTTTTCCCGTCGTCTCCAATTTGCTTTTGTGCCCGTGCAGTGCGGCTCTTTTTCATTTCAGTTACTATATTTTTTAGTTCTAAAATTTCCTTTTGAGTCTTCCTTATATCTTCTGGTTTTTGGCTGAGGCTTTTTGTTTTCCATTTGTTTCAAGAGTGTTTGTGGTTACTTGGTAGAGTATTTGTATAACAGGCCCTTTAAAGTGTTCATCACGTAATTCCAACGTCTGTCTTATCTTGGCGTTGGTGTCTGTTGATTATCTTTTCCCATGAGAATTGAGATTTTTTCCTGATTTTTCACATGGCAAGTGATTTTGGATTATATTCTGGATATTTTGATTATTGTGTGCAACACTCTGGGTTTTGTTTAAATCCTACAGAGAATGCTTGTATTTCTGTTTTAATGGGCGCTGGCCCTGCGGGGTGAGGCCACAAGCTCCTGACAGCCCTCTGTGGGCTGCGGTTGCGATAGTTTCCAGCTGTTTCTGCAGTCCTCTTTGCGTCTGTCCTGCGCATGTGCCTCCCGTGGTCAGTCTGGGACCCGGGGCGGTCGTCTGTGCGTTCGGTTCTCCGCCTCTTTGGTGAGTTGATTAGGAGCAGATCCGTGCCTGTGCATGAGGGGACCAGCCTAGGAGTGCATAAATAACTTTATGGACTTACTTTCCCAAGTTCCTCCCTCTTTGTGATCTCTCTGATACTTTGCAGTTTCCTCGGGCTCTGAGACGGACGGACAAAAGTAACTTAGTGCCATTTGAGTGCTAGTTCAAATTTTGGTCTTCTTCCCCATTTGGCCTTCTCCAGTTTACTTTTCAGAATCTAAAATTTCCTGCTATGTGTATTCTGTCCAGGTGTTTTTTAGCTGCACTCAGTGGGAGGGCCAGGGTGGCTGCGGTTACTGTATCTAACCTGGAGTTGGAACCTCCCGCAAGTCGGTTTTAGCATCACGAGAAAAGAGACAACCAGGTGTTTTTTGCCTTCTGATATGACCCAAAAGGCACGCACATCACCACTATGAGGTGTTTCTGCCAAAAACATCCGTCCTGAATCTGATAGAGCATCTAAGTCTGTCTCAGTCAGTTTGAGCTGCTGTAACAGAATACCGTAGACGAGGTGGCTTAAAGGACAGAAACGTATTTCTCACAGTTCTGAAAGTCCGAGATCAAGGGTCCCAGCATGCTTGGGTTCTCTGTGTCTCTGTCCTCACGTGGCCTTCCTTGATGCGTGCACACAGAGAGGGAAATCCCTTGGCTCCTCCTCATCTTATGAGGGCACTGACACCATCGTGAGGGCACCACCCTCATGACCTCATCTAACTAATTGCCTCCCAGAGGCCCCACCTCCTAATACCATCCCATTAGGGGTTAGAGTTTCAACATAGGAATTTTGGGGAACACATCATGCAGTCCTTAATACTAACCATTGATTTATGGGAAATTGAGGGACAGAGGA